TTTTATCAAAGGCCTTTTCTGCATCTATTGAAATAATCGTGTGGTTTTTGTCATTGGTTCTGTTTATGTGATGGATTATGTTTATTGATTTGTATTTGTTGAACCAGCCTTGCATCCCAGGGATAAAGCCAACTTGGTAGTAGTGGATAAGCTTTTTGATGTGCTACTGGATTCAGTTTGCCAATATTTTACTGAGGATTTTGCATGGATGCTCATCAGGGATATTGGCCTGAAATTTTCTTTTTGTTGTTGTTGCTGTTGTTGTGTCTCTGTCAGGTTTTCATATCAGAATGATGCTGGCCTCATAAAATGAGTTAGGGAGTATTCCCTCTTTTTCTATTGTTTGGAATAGTTTCAGAAGGAATGGTACCAGCTTTGTACCTCTGGTAGAATTTGGCTGTGAATCCATCTGGTCCTGGGCTTTTCTGGTTAGTGGCTATTAATTACTGCCTCAATTTCAGAACGTGTTATTGGTCTACTTCTTCCTGGTTTAGTCTTCGGAGGGTATATGCATCCAGGAATTTATTCATTTCTTCTAGATTTTCTATTTTTGTGTGTAGAAGTGTTCATAGTACTCTCTGATGGTAGTTTGTATTTCTGTGGGCTCAGGGGTGATATCCCCTTTATAATTTTGTATTATGTCTATTTGATTCTTCTGTCTTCTTTATTAGTCTGACTAGTGATCCATCTATTTTGTTGATCTTTACAAAGAAAACAGCTCCTGGATTCATTGATTTTTTGAAGGGTTTTTTGTGTCTCTATCTCATTCAGTTCTGCTCTGATCTTAGTTATTTCTTGTCTTCTGCTAGCTTTTGAATTTTGTTTGCTCTTGCTTCTCTAGTTATTTTAATTGCCTTGTTAGAGTGTTGATTTTAGATCTTTCCCACTTTCTGATGTGGGCATTTACTGCTATAAATTTCCCTCTCACCCCTGTTTTAGCTGGTGAGACATACCAGAGATTCTGGTATGTTGTGTCCTTGTTCTCATTGGTTTCAAAGAACTTATTTATTTTTGCCTTAATTTTGATATTTACACAGTAGTCATTCAGGAGCAGGTTGTTCAATTTCCATGTAGTTGTGTGGTTTTGAGTGAGTTTCTTAATCCTGAGTGCTAATTTGATTGCACTGTGGCCTGAAAGACTGTTTGCTATGATTTCTGTTCTTTTGCATTTGCTGAGGAGTGGTTTATTTCCAATGATGTGGTTTATTTTAGAATACATGCTATGTGGTGCTGAGAAGAATGTATATTCTGTTGATGTGGGGCAGAGAGTTCTGTAAATGTCTGTTAGGTCCACTTGGTCCAGAGCTAAGTTCAAGTCCTTAATATGTTTGTTAATTTTCTGTCTCCTTGGTCTGTCTAATATTGACAGTAGGGAGTTAAAGTCTGCCACTATTATTGTGTGGGAGTCTAAGCCTCTTCATAGGTCTCTAAGAACTTGCTTTATGAATCTGGGTGCTCCTGTATTGGCTTCATATATGTTTAGGATAGTTAGCTCTTCTTGTTGTATTGATCCCTTTACTATTATGTAATGCCCTTCTTTGTCTTTTCTTGTTCTTTGTTGGTTTAAAGTCTGTTTTATCAAAAACTAGGATTGCAACCCCTGCTTTTTTTTTAAGCTTTCCGTTTACTTGGTAAATATTCTTTCACCCCTTTATTTTGAGCCTATGTGTGTCTTTGCACGTGAGATGGGTCTGCTGAATACAGCACACCGATGGGTCTTGACTCTATCCAATTTGCCAGTCTGTGACTCTTACTTGGAGCATTTAGTCCATTTACATTTAAGGTTAATATTGTTATGTGTGAATTTGATCCTGTCATCATGATGTTAAGTGGTTATTTTGCACATTAGTTGATGCAGTTTCTTCATAGTGCCATTGGTCTTTATATTTTGGTGTGTTTTTGCAGTGGTTGGTACCAGTTTTTCCTTTCCATATTTAGTGCTTCCTTCAGGAGCTCTTGTAAGGCAGGCCTGGTGGTGACAAAATCCCTCAGCATTTACTTTTGTGTAAAGGATTTTATTTCTCCTTCACTTATGAAGCTTAGTTTGGCTGGATATGAAATTCTGTGTCAAAAATTCTTTTCTTTATGAATGTTGGCCCTCGCTATCTTCTGGCTTGTAGGATTTCCGCGGAGAGATTCACTGTTAGTCTGATGGGCTTCCCTTTGTAGGTAACCTGACCTTTCTGTCTCACTGCCCTTAACATTTTTTCCTTCATTTCAATCTTGGAGAATCTGACAATTATGTGTCTTGGGGTTGCTCTTCTCGAGGAGTATCTTAATGGTGTTCTCTGTATTTCCTAAATTTAAATATTGGCCTGTCTTGCTAGGTTGGGGACGTTTCTTCTAAAGTGTGTTTTCCATCTTGGTTCCATTCTCCCTGTCACATTCAGGTACACCAATCAAACGTAGATTTGATCTTTTCACATAGTCCCATATATCTTGGAGACATTGTTCGTTTCTTTTCATTCTTTTTTCTCTAATCTTGTCTTCACATCTTATATCAGTAAGTTGATCTTCAATCTCTGATATCATTTATTCTGATCAAAGTCTATTATTTCTTAAATGTTGCCCACATAGCAGGCAAGTTCCAGGTTCACAATGAACACTGCTGGTCCCCAAGCTAGACCCCCTTTCCCAGGACAGTGTAGCCATCCCCTGCTACTGTGAATGTTGGCTACTCTTGGCTCACAGTTGCCTCTTTCCCTAGAAAATCGACCTTAGGCAATGAGAGTTACCATTGTCCAGTAGCATATACCTCTACCCCAAGAAACACCACAACCAATGATGACTTTAGTCTTACCCACAATAGGTCTGAGCAGTCTGATCCCCTTGCCTCAGGGAGGGAGGGATCAACCCTGTGATACAGTTCAAGTTTCAGAGGTCCCCATGAGGTCAGGCTTGATCAAGACCTCTGCTGGACCATGTCCATGCTTAGCCTTTCCCCCATCTCAACCTGGTTTCCCAAATAAATTATAGAAAGAGAATTCCAAATGCAGTCTCTGCTTTTAAGGAACTCATCCCAAGACAATATTTTATCTCACTGAATCCTGAAACCAATCCTGAAATATATGTAATAGTATAACTTAATATGAAAAAAGCCATAAGTAACATAATCGATGTTCAAACCAGTACCACAGCCTGAGTTCTTTCCAGAATACCATGATGCCAGAAGGCAAATCATAAAAATGGGACAAAAATTTAAGCACAACTGTTTGCTCTTCCTCATTCCTTTTTAAATCTTTCTTCTATGACTGGGAAATATTTGTTCAGAGTCTTCACTTCTGCAGAGTAAGAAGTTGTAGCAAATTCTGACTTGGCTTCATCATTTTCATCAGTGACTGTCAATAAAATGGACAGAAATCTTTATTCTTCATTTCCAAGCTTTTCCCACCTTCTGGGCCACATAAATAATGTCATGCCTCTCAGACCACAACTTCTTTTTTACAGTAAATGTGATTCTCAAATGTTTTGTCTGTAATTCAAAGTAATATCGACTAAAAGGCCTTATTTCATCAGGCCACAAATACTTTCCCCGTACTTGACATACACTGCAGGGCAAATCTGTGGTGCCTCGTAATCAGGGGATGGAGATATTCATATGATGTTTAGTGTTTCCAACTCTCCAGACAAACATTTCCTGAAGCATTCTCAATTCCACACGGTCTTTGGTATCTTATTCATACAGGTCTTTACTCATCATAACAAAGGCCCGTGGTGTCTGGATCTCTTTTAGATACTTAGAGACCCTTCTCAAAAAAAAGTTAAGTCCTTCTGTGCTGTCATGCCCTGCTGGGGAGATAAGGCTCTCTATAACTAAAGCCAGTGCTCCCTCCCATCTCCAGGCCACACTCAAGTACATAGGAATCAATAAACTGTCCCATCAGGCTCAAGCTGGGAGTTTTGAATTTGATTAAAACTTTACCCCAAAATGACAACATAGACCCTCTCTAATCTTTAGTCTGTGCAACTAATTAGACTTTTTTTAACCAGTTCTCGCCATCTGACTCTAGATCTTCTAGCTATCCATCAGATGTACCCTTATATAACTCAAGAGTGAGGTTGCAGTTGAGGCTGGAGATGGAGTTGGGGTTCTATAACTAAAAAGATTTATGACTTATGGGATTTTCAAAATAGTCTGCTTATGATTTTTCTTCTCTTTGCACTTCTGCTTTGCTGTTTCATTCCTAAAGCAATGTCTGTCAAACGCCTTTGGGAAAGAGAGTTTGTCTTAGGAACCATGAGAGCATATCTGTTATTGTATGGAAATATTTTCTTGTCCTTCATAAAAAGAATCATAAAACCAATCTCATAAAGTAAAGATGTGGCATAAAAGTAGACTGGGCATAGATTAAATAAATGTACCTTTTTGTGTAGCAATAATAATTTAATAAAAAGAAAAAAGGGAGGAAGTAAATTTTTAGAAATGCTATATATGTTTATGGCATGATTATATTGTCTGTATAAAGTGAATATGTGCACCTTTTGTATGTTAATAATACCTCGATTAAAATATTTTGGATTTCTTTTGTTGTTGTTTTGTGTTTTGTTTTTGTTTGGTTTTTTGAGACAGGGTCTCACTGCATTGTCCAGGCTGGAGTGCAGCTCTGTAATCACAGCTCACCTCAGCCTCCACCTCTCTGACTCAAGAAATCCTCCGACCTCTTCCCTCCCAAGTTTCTGGGACTACAGGCACATGTCACCACTCTTGGCGATTTTTTTTTTTTTTAGACAAAGTCTCCCTATGTTGCCCAGGCTAGTCTCAAACTCTTGGGCTTAAGGAATCCTCTTCCCTATGCCTCCAGAAGTGTTGGGATTACGGACATGAGCCACCAAGCCTAGCCAAAAAAATATTTAAAAACTAAAGTGGAAAGAGAAGACTAGAAAATATTTCAAATAGACCAAAGGGTGTCTTTTATTTTCCTTTGGGGTCTCAATTATTTTCAGAATTATGAAAATATTTCCCAAATTAATCAAACCTTCAATACTATTGCTCTTGGTTTTCATTTGCATCCAGAGAGCAAACAGAACTTCATAGCCTTGCAATCTAAGCTCTACATCAGGCATTCCTGGGGTCCAGCAGGTTTGGGTACAGACTGCAGGTGTCTGGGGAGCACTGTGCGCTCATTGCACAGAAGTAGGTGGCTGAATCACTGGGTTGTGAGTCTCTGATGAACAAGGAAATATACTTGCTGGATTTATCGACCTGTGCTGTAAACCTTCCATCTTCTTTGTTACCACTGGAGTATATGTAAATCAGCAACTGAGGGCCTTTTCTGGAATACTGTCTGTACCACATGAAGTATTGAAAAGCACTGTTGCTGTAAGTGCAGTTGAGAGAGGCAGTGGCTCCCTCTGGAACACTGAGGGGTCCAGGATTCTGCTCCACCTCCTTCTGTTGGCTCCAAACCCCTGTGAAAAAAGACAGTGGTCAGACAGAGAAGACAGATTGGGTAGTGGACACTTAGTCCCCAGAATTTAAATCATCTTTTCATGGACTCCCCACTCTCCACAGTCTCCCTTTGTTAGAGGAGAAAACCACTCATGTTTCTACCCACAGGCCTAGAATACACAGTAATTGCAAACAATATACATTATGTTCCTATAGAGATGCCCAAAACTCACAGCTTAACTGAAGCCACAGGATCACCAGTAAAACTCTCAAGGATTTCATCATTCTTTTCTGCCCTGGTTCACTGAGGATTCAAACCTTAAACACACACACACAGAAACACACACACACACACACACACACACACACAAGAAGTAATTCAAATGTTTCTCATTTTTCTGCTGTAGGAATCATAAAAGAAATCTGTCCTACCAATTAGAGAAAAGATGTTCTTTTTAACACCTCTGCTCCATCAGTAAGCTCCTCCCTCATCTCTCCCTGTCTCGCTCGTATTCATGTGTGTGTGCACTTGCAAGTGCACGTGCATCCCCCTCCCCTCCCCCCACCCACAGAAGCACATGAGAGCTTTCCTCAAGGTCCCTGAGAAGACACTGCCATCTTGAGGACTCACACAAGCGATCAAAGATGTATTCCAACTACAAACCTGTGTTATATGAACTGTTAAAAGTGAAAATAAGACACTTTCGTTAAATTCAAAATATACAAGGAACTCAAACAACTCAACAGCAAAAAATAAAAAGTCAAACAATCCCGTTTAAAAATGGGCAGTGGATCTAAACTGACATTTCTCAAAAGAAGACAAAGGGCCAGTAGGTATTTAAAACATGCTCAACATCACTAATCATTACGGAAATGCGAATCAAAACCACAATGACATATCATCCTATCCTAGTTAGAATCGCTATTATTAAAAATACAGAAAATGATATATGTGATCAGGATGCATAGAAAAGGGATCTCTCAAACATTGTTGGTAGAAATGTAAATTAGTACAGCCACTCTGGAAAACAGTAGGGAAATTTCTCAAAAATCTAGTAATAAAACTACTATACAATCCAGCAATCCAACTATTGAGTATTTATCCAAAGGAAAGGAAATAAGTGTATTGAAGGCATACCTGCCTCCCCATGTTTATTGCAGCACTATTCACAATAGCAAAGATATTAAATCAACAAAGTATCTATCTACCGGTGAACGGATGAAGAAAATGTTGTATAGTTACACGGTGGAATACTATTCACGTATAAAAATGAATGAAATCATGTCCTTTGCAGCAACATGGATGGAACTGGAAGTCATTATGTTAAATGAAATAAGCCAGGCACAGAAAGATAAATATTGCATGAATTCACTCAGAGGTGGGAGCTAAAAAAAAAGAGTTGATCTCAGGAGATAGAGACTAGAATGTTGGTTATCAGAGACTGGGAAGGATGTGGATGTGGATGTGGTTGAGGGGAATAAAAAGAGGTTGGTTAATGGGTAGAAACAGAAGGAATACGTTCTAATATTCAATAGCAGAGTAGAGTGGCTAAAGTTAACAACAACACATTGTACTTTCAAAATAGCTAGAAATGAGGACTTGAAATATTCTCAACACACAGAAATAATAAATGATGCTCTTGGTAATAGATATCCTAAACACTCTGACTTGATTATTGTATATTCTATGCACATAACAAAATATCACATGAACCACATAAATACGTACAAATATTACATATCAATTAAAAATAAAAAGCTCTAATAAAGCTTTTAAGCTATATTAAGAGTCAAAGTCAACGTATATGTGAGAGAAGCAGAGGGATATATATGTGTGTATGAGTTTCCATCAAATGGCAATTCTTATCTAAGTAAGACCACTTATATCTAATAGCCACTTTCCTGAACTAAAAAATCAGACATAACAGATTCTATTTTAGAAATCTGAGTGAGATTCTTGCAATTCAAGGAGAATTTCACACTGTATAGCTCTTCTTAATGTCAGGCCACATATTCCTATACTACTTTGTTATATACAAGTTTTAAAGAAATTTCTTGTAACTCAAAATAAGTCTTCCAAGATGAAATGGCCTAAAATCTAGCTGAACAAACATGGTTACAGCCCACAGCCTAAACAATATTTTTTTAGCAAGGCCAGGAACTGGAGGAACTTGAACTTTGTCATTCCATTTTGTACCAATGATGCATCTGTGCCTAAACAGCACTTGCTTGGGTTGGTGCAATTGAGATGAATCTGCCTTTAGTACCTAAAAACTGTCAATAAACCCAATGTGCCTGTTCATTTGTCCTGTCCCTCTTATTGCCTTTCTTGTATAAAGCTGATATCTAGGAATCAGTCTCTAATAGGTTTTGTTCATCCTGACATAACCAACAAACCAAATCTATCAGGGAGCTATCTATGCAAGAAACTCAATTGAGTCTATAAATAAACAAGGACAGACAACTACTATTCTTTTCTGTTCCACAATGTGCTTTGTGTCCTTTAAGAGGCCAACAATGAAGCAGGCTCTTTTCCACTCACGAGCCGCGTAATCGGTATTCACCAAAGATGGCTGAGGCTAACCTTTCCCATTCCCACCAACAACTGCCTAGGAAATAGAATGAGGGAGAAGATGCTAATATTGAAATTTGTTTCTCCAAGGGTACATTGCACTTGACAGAAACTGTGACCATTTCTTGGTAAATACAAAAACCAGAGGAAAAGTGAAAGCAATACAAGCTGGCAGCCACTAGTCTTGGATAATGTACTAAAACAAATATAACGTCTGAAGCAAAGTCTGTAAGAAGCACCCTTCTTTGTAAGATTTGTAACAAAACATGATACAAATGAGTCAACAGATCTAATGCTGTGGTGGACCCAAGAGCCATATCAGTACTAGCAAAATGACAGACTTTATGCAGCATCAAACCTGTCCTAAGGACCCTTATTTGCCTAATTATGTCTAAAGAATATATAAAACTCTTTCATATCCCCAAAGGACAGTGTTATGATAATCAACAAATAAGAAAAACCACTGACCTCTCCCCCATTGATTTTACACCGTCTTCACCTTCCACAGCAGTAAATTTTCTATATATGCCTTGTGAACCTCAGAGTATTGCAAAACAAGACTTCATTTGAAAGCGATTTATCTTAAAATAAATGCTTCTGAAATGGTACTAATTTTGCATCTATTTTTAAACATTTTAGCTTATATTTTAGGTACAAGGGGTACATGTGCAAGTTTGTTACATGTGTATATTACACTCAGATGGTGAGCATAGTACTCAATAGGTACTATTTAATACACCCCCCAGTCCCTGCTCCCTTTGGTAATCCACAGTTGTTGCCATGTTTATGTAGGTTCGTGTTTGGCTCCCACTTATAAGAAAGAACATGTGATATTTGGTTTAACATTTCTGCATTAATTCACTTAGGATAATGGCCTCCAGATCCATTCATGTTGCTGCAAAGAACATTATTTCATTCCTTTTTATGGCAACATAGTATTCCATGGTATATATGTACCACATTTTCTTTATCCAATCCACCATCGATGGGCACAGAATTTTATTTCACATGCTTGCTATTGTACATAGCATGGCAATAATAATAAGAAGCCATGTGTCTTTTTGGTGCAACAGCCTATTTTCCTTTGCATATATATCCAACAATGAGATTGCTGGGTAAAATGATCGCTCCATTTTATGTTCTTTGGGATATTTGCAAACTACTATCCACAGGGACTGAACTAATTTACATTCCCATCAACAGCATATAAGTGTTCCCTTTTCTCTGCAGCCTCATCAGTATCTGTTGTTTTATAATATTTTAATAATAGCCATTCTGACTGGTGTGAGATGATATCTCATTGTGGTTTTGATGGATATTTCTCTGATGATTAGTGATGATGAGCACATAGCAAGAGAAACTCTTAGACCCTGGCCAGTGGGGAGAGGTGAGGGTCTAATACTCTCTTTGTATGCTAAAAGAAGTATAGAAAAACAATCATATTGTCTTCTGAAACCAAGCAGCAACTCTCTGACCTGCTATTCATTTGTTATCTCCTTCCACATTCCATGAACACAGGAAAACTCCTGTGAATATGGCTCCCAGACTATTCTGTTATATCAGTGGCAGCTTTCCAATATAGATTCCCCATCTTCATAAGTATACTAACACAAGAATCAACACAACCTTGTCTCAAACTGACAGATACAAATGTATATGCTTCCCCTGATATCTTGACAGTTGGGTTATGTCATGAATGGCTACAGACATTGCAAATATTGCAAATACTCACTGACACTGCTCATGTAGTTTAACCAAAGTGATGCCATGCTTATCCAAATCAAGTTTAATAATAAATCCCAAATTTGATTAACCTGTGCATTTAGGGTTATGCCTGGGGAAGAGGGGCCATATAACATCTCTGTATTGGGAATGGTAGGGTTTTTTTCTTTGTGGCAATTCAAACAGAGATCAAAATTTCAGTCTAAAGTTTCATGTATGGGTTATAACAGGTAAAATACTACATGCTAGCTATCTGTACTTTGGAACTTTTACTCACATTTGGCTGTATCAGGCACAATTAATGTTAATACTACAGGTTGGTCTTATTCTGCTTCTTAGAGTTCTGCTGATAGTAGCCTTAATTAAATGCTATTTGAGACAAATGTAATGTGTTTCGTCATGACATTTCTCAGTTACATAAATCAGAAAGACTGACAAAGTGGCATACTCATAAAATAAATTTCTAGCAACTAACCCAGTGTAGGACCATGGAGTGGCTATTATTGAAAGACAGTCCACCGTGAGTCTCTTGTACTCGTCATGACCTGATGAATGTGCCAACAGTGTAAAAACATGAGCATTCTACCTGGGTCACTTCTCAGGGTTATGCCAGCAAGCAACCTTGGGAGATGAGGTAATGTTTCCCTCCGAGACAAAGAGCAAGCTGGCTAAGTGCTTGTTATAAAAGCAATGAACTTCCTAAGCTCAGAGTTCCTCAGCTGCAACACAATACCACTTGATGCATAGCATCCCTTACTACATATTACATCATCTTTTGAGGACTTAAAGGAAGGAGAAACTAATGGAAATGCATTAATGTTCATGCTGTTTGTTGTGCCATAAATAATAAAAATCCTTTGTCTCTTACAAAGGAGCCCTGTGTTTTTATTGACAGACTCAATGAAATAAGCTTATTAGCTTGTAAGAAGGGACAAAATCCAAGACCTAACAACTCCTCACTAAAGGAGTTATAAAGATTTGTAAAATAAAGACTTAAATTACATGTGAGAAAGGTAACTTTCTCCAAACTGGTATGAAACAGGCCTTTTATGGAGGAT